CTGGATTTTCACCTAGTTTGTACAAACAACCACTTTCTCACCACTTTCCATGAGACTACAGCTTTGCTGTCCTGGCAGGAGTAAGGGCTCCCAGGATCCCAGCTGCTACAAAGTTCCAGGTGTACGGCAGCTAATATACAGCAAACAACATCTGTAAATAGCTGATACCCACCAATCCAAGCAGCTTGTGTGTCCCCTACTGACTCACACTATCCTATAAAAAGGGAAACTTATAATGGGTAATGGTTCCCTTATTGGAACAGAACTCACATGGTATCCATGTTACTTACCAGGGTGACTCTGCTGATCTGGGCCTTGGAAGATGGTTGTTTCCCAAGGCTGGAACTCTCTCCCTTTCCCTGAAGTTTGCCATCTCCCACTGAGTCTTCTAGTATTCCAGGCCCCTCTTCCTAGAAAGTCTTCTCCAAGAACTGAATCCTTACTTGTCTCTCCCTCCTCTGAGCATCTTCATCACCTTATTTTCTGCCAACTTTGCATTGTCTTTCTCATGTGGTTTTTCCTTTCTCATTTCCCTCTGTTTAAGATGGTAATAATCTCAAGGATAATAACCATGTCACATTTCTCTATCCTGTGTAATTACTTATTAATTAGGTGGATAAATGGAGCCTTGGAAACAGGAGAAACATCTAAACAATAATGATTCCTACCCCATTCTGAGAAACAGTAACTCTTCCATATGAGGTCACCACATGTGGGTGTCCAAAATCACAAAGCCATGTCCAGACACTCACTTTTGCCCACTCCCTACCACAATTAATGCTTCTGAGACTTTCCAGTTCTGTCCTGTCATTGGTGATCTTGGAAGACTGAGGTGAGGTAAAATGACCCAGAAACCTGGCCAACTATGTAGACAGACACTGTGGAGGTTTCCCTGAGACAGTGGAGGGCATTAGAATGAGGAAGAGCATAGCCAGGTGTTGTGGTCAGAATATGGAATGTCCCCAACAGGCTCATGTGTTGAAGCCTAGGTCCCCAGCTGGTGGCACTATTTGGGGAGGTTCTGGAAACTTAAGCAGATATGGCCTAACTTCAGGAATTAGATCACTGAGTACATAAACTTGGGGCTATATCTTGCCCTGCCCCCCCTGGCCTTTCTATCTGTCATGAGATAGATGAGTAGCCTCTGGCATGTGTTTTTGATGCCATGATGTTCTGCCCTATGGGCACAACCATGATGGATTTTATTATAACCTCTGAAACTGTGAGCCAAAAAATACATATTTCCTCCCTCTAAGTTGGTTTCTTAGTTATTTGATCACAGTGACAATAAAACTGCCTATTGGGTTGGAGTCTTAGATCTTACCTGTAATGACTAATGCTTAGAGACAGGACAGGTGGGCAGAGAAAGAGAGAAGAAAAGAGAAGAGAAGAGAAGAGAAGGAAAAAGAAGAGAAGAGAAGAGGAGAGGAAATGAATGAAGCCAGAGAAGAAGATGTTGAACAGCATTTTGTGAAGGACAATAATGAAAGAAATTTTAGAAAGTGGGTGGGTCAATAGAAAGACATGTTGGGTCTTAGATGCAGCGAGACATGCTTTGTTACATCTCTTTGTATTTTCACCAACTTCCTCATTCTACAACATGAGGAAAATTAATGCCTTTTGTCTGGGCCTTTTTATAACAAAGAGTTAAATACCTAGTTTAACTCTGAAGTTATATACAAGCTTCATTTTTCTTTTAAAAAAACAAGCACAAAACTCTTAATGATGGGACTTTTTTTTAAATCAGAAAAATTTAAAGGCACTTAAGGTCCTCTAGGAATTCATGGTTATATATATCAAAATATTTAAATCAAACTGATATAACCCTGGTTTCTCCCAAAAACAAAGCCATTCAATCAGAAGCCATTAAATTTACCTGAGGCCTGTTAGAAGTCTCAGTAGAAATGTTTATTACCCTCCTTCCTCCTGTACCCATACAAATGCTTTAGTCTATAATCTGAATTTTTCTGTGGTATTTTCAGGCATCTTTTTCCGCTCTCTGGTAACCATTTCTGTGTCTTCAGCATTTAAGTTCAACTCTATGTTCATCAGGACTGCTGAAGTAAGCCATCTCTGCTTTCATTTAAGTAGGTAGACTGGACCTGCAGCCAACATTGAGGTACTTATTTGGCTACGATGACAAACATAATAATAATAGCCTACTGTTTAATGAGTGGGTAGTATGTTCTAGATATTGTAAGGAGAATTTTATACAAATGACATCATGTACCTGATCCGCACAATTATTATCAAAACTGCCCCCAAATATTTGAGAAACCTGGACCAAGAGCATAAATAGACCCCCACCCATGGAATAACATCCTCTCTTTCATTCCCGCCCTCAAGTCCAACACTCACACCCCATACTCCAAACATCTGTCCTTTAGCTACTATCCTAAGGAGGACAGTCCTCATGAAAAACTCCCTCTTAGGCCTTGGAACTTAGGTCTAAATGGAGGGGATTTCAGAACCCCAAGTATGAGGAGCATGGTCTAGAAAGACAGGTATGGGAATGTTAAATAGCCCACGGGTTTCTGCTCATACAAAAGAGGTGCTTTAAAGCACCCAGTCCACGCCAAGGGTCACTACTGACCAAGTCTGATCATAGTACTGATCACTATGGAGAAATAAATCCAGAAAGGTACACATAGTAAGTGGAGGAACTGGGCATTGAACTTAAATTTGTGTCCAATACCTGAACTAATTGCCTCTCCATACACCAATGGCTTGCTTTGCATTTTATCACTTGAGATGTGCATATCTTATATCTTCTCTAAAGTATAAAATTCTCTTAGTAGGTCCAATGTCATATTCTTTTTGAATTTCCACCAGCCACATCACCCTACTATCCTACTCTGTCCTTACTAACCCTAAGAATCTTTGACTCTAAAAGGTATTCCATTAAATTCTAGTGTGTCAATAAAGTGATTTCTTAGCCTCACTGTAAGAGCTCAGTATTTAACCAAAAATAAAGGGCTCTGTAATTCTTGGCGTGCCCATTTGTGTGTGGACTTCTAATACAACAATGATGGGTGACTGTCGAAAGGACACAGAGAGCTAGGAACAGTAGAGCATGCCTGTTAATTCTAGACACTTGGGAGGCTGAGGCAGGAGGATCATAAATTTGAAGTCAATCCTGGCTACATAGCAAGTTCAAGGCCAGCCTGAGCTACATAGTGAAACCTTATCTCAGAAAACTAATGAAGAAAGTTTTTAATTTTGATAAAGTCCAAGTTTTTGTTGTTGTTACATGTGTTTTTAGTGTCATACTTAAGAAATCATTGCTAACCAGGCGCTGGTCATTCACGCCTATGATTCTACCTACTTGAGAGACAGAGATCAGTAGGATCAAAGATTGAAGCCAGCCCGGGGAAATAGTTCACAAGACCCCATCTCTAAAATACCCAACACAAAAAGGGCTAGTGCAGTGGCTTAAGTGATAGAGCCCCTGCCTAACAAGTGTAAGTCCCTGAGTTCAAATCCCAGTTCTGCCAAAAAAAAAAAATCATTGCTTAATTAAAGGTCAAAAAGATATATGCCTCTATTTTAAGAGTTTTATAATTTGAGTTCTTACATTTAAGTCTGTATGCCTTTCCAGTTAATTTTCATGTATCTTGTAAGTCAGGAGTCCAGTTTCATTTTTATGTATGGATATCCAGTTGTCCCAGTGCTATTTATTGAAAAGACTGTTCTTTTCCCATGAATGGTCTCCATGCCTTTGTCAAAACTCAGCTGAATATAGACACATGGGTTTGCTTCTGGACTCTCAATTCTATTCCATTCATCTATAGTCTGTTCTTATGCCAGCACTTCACTGTCTTGATTACCATTGTTTTGCGGTAAGTTTTGAACTGGGAACTGGATATTCCTACTGTTTGTCCTTTCTCAAGATTGTTTTGGCTATTCTTGGTCCCTGCAATTCTATATGGATTTTAGAACCAGTTTATCGATTTCTATGAAGAAGTCAAGGAAGATAGGTGTTATTTTTCCTCATATAAATTTGGAAAAGGAACCAATATTCTGGGAGAGCAGCTCTGCTAGAGTGATATTGCACAATAGCAAATATTAATACCTTATTCTAGAAAATTGAGCCTCTGATAATTGAGTATTGATGAAAATTCATACTGGGGTCCAAAACAAAGATTCCCATATTGTGATACTGAATTTGAGAAAAATACTGAGGATACACTTATTTTTACATTTACATTCATATAATGATTTAAAGGTAACAAAATGTTGTCTGTATTCACCATCTTTTCCCATCTTTTCATCATAATTATCCTGCGATTCAGTGAAACAGGAATTTATTACCACTAGTAGTTTTCAGTAAGGTAATTTAGACACAGAGGAGAAGTGATTTGCTCAAGGAGATAAGCTAGAAAGTAGGGCAACCAACCTTCCTGGTTTCCCTGCAACTGAGGGGCTTTCTAGGATGGAAGACTTTTGGTGCTAAAACTGGGAGAGACCTAGGTAAACTGGGCTGACTTGGTCACTCTACTGGTAAGCAGCAGAGGCAAGGTAAGAGATCAGGATGTTTAGCTCTTAGCACTTTTCCTAATGTGGATGAGTTTATTAAGCAGGCTTGGCCTTCTGTACTTTGGGAAATTATGCCTAAAATCCTTTCTTCATGCATCTTTTCTTGAGTAATCTCTTCTGAGACATCAGCTACCCTAATCTCCCATTGTTTTTGGTGTGGAAGCCAGACTGGGCTCTTTATTTTCTTCTTTCTGTGAGTTCTAATGGTTGTTCATCATGTTCACATTTCCTCTCTCCTTCAGACTCTAAGTCATGACAGGGGTGGATGCTTCATAAATACTGTTTCCTAACCAACAGGAAGGAAATGGACATTCAAAACACTGTCAGGGTCCAGTAAGTTGTCTGGACCACCACCTATTAGAATTCAGTCATTACTTAAAGATAAGCAAGAGCCACTTAGTGCCAGGAACACAAGTTGTATATTTATTGTATCTTTATGTGGATAATAGCAAGAAAAGCACAGCCTAGTACACATCGATGACCCATCTCAGAGAACCGACTTTGGTATCCATGGCACCCCAGTCATGGTACCGTCTGTAGTCTCCTGGTCTGAGCAGGTACTGCCGGCCCCGGTAGTTGGGCATCTCGTAGAGGACCCAGCAGCCCTCCAGCACATGGAGGGAGTAGATCTCATTGAGATGGAAGTGATCATGGATGCAGGAGCAGTCTTCCGTGGGCTCGGACACAAGGCCTCGGTAGTCATCTCTCTCATATAGCCTTATCCTATGACAGCTGGTCTGTTGTGACAAAAAAGAAGAACAGCAATGCTGTACATGTCTGCTGTTAGCAAAAGTGACAATCAGCCTGTGTCTTCATGGTTTTCAGACTACCCTCTAAAGTATGTTTCTTCCCTAATCCTACTCCTTGTTGTAAGAAGTAGGATTAAAGAGCATTAAAATAAAGCTGACCTGACCAGTGGTGACCTGGAGATCTTGTGGAAGAAACTAACATTAAAATGTAAGGAGTGAAAGCATTTCTTTGTAAGTAGCCATCTATCACAACCATGGGTAGTGAGTCTGCAGAGAGGATTTGAACTCTGGAATGTTCCATTATGACACCATAATAACTGAATCCCGTCAAGCTTGTCTTAAAGTCACTTCTTGCATTCATATGCACATTGATTTGTGTATTTGCTCTGAGTCTACTTACTTTCAAATGACATTTTGTGAAGTCATTTGAACCATTCCCATTTCTTACCCCAAAGAAATATTTGGTTTTTTATATCTCTTTGTGCATATGCAAAATTTTGATTTCAATTCTTGAATCTCCTTGCTAAACAGCATAATTTGGTGCCATCAGAAATCATAAATAGATACACCATGTCACTAAAATCATGAAGCAGCACATGGGTGAATACCATGTCCCATGAAATCCTAATTAATTTTCTGTCTCTGTAAGAAACTAGTTAATAACTCCTGGGAAATACAGAGTCACACAAGATGAAGTGGGCTGTTTGCAGTTATAGGCTAGTATATCATAAAGTATAGTAAAAAAAAAAATCACCAAAACAGTCAGAACACATTCTACCTATATTAGCCTCCAAAAGGCTGTTAATTTTTTATCATTAAAAAATAATTATTTAGTTAGGCTTTTTTTTCTTATTGAACTTAGATGCTATCAAGCTTAATTTAATTATTTTTCAGATTTATTTAGCTTTAAATTGACAGAAAATTTGTTTGTATTTATTGTGTACAAGATGATGTTTTGAAGTATGCCCTGAATAAATTGTAGCTAATTAACAAATGCATTACCTCACATAGCTACATTTTTATGGTGAAAGTACTTACAATCCACTCTCTTAGTATTTTTAAAGAACGTATGATATAATCACTAGCTATAGTCAACATATACAATAGATCTCTTGAACTTATTCCTTCTATTTAATTGTAATTTTGTAACCTTTGAGTAACATCTCCGTAAATCTCCTTTCCCCAGCCTGCAGTAACCACCATCCTATTCTCTACTCCTATAAAACCAACTTCTTAAGATTCCATATATGAGTAAGATTATGTGACCTTTATTATTTCATTTAACATAATGACCTCCAGGTTCATCACTGTCATTGTAAATGATAGGATTTCCTTCTTTTGTGACACATATGACTATTCAGCCAAGTTCAATTTTAAAGTCTATGTTATGACTTCTTATGCTCTAAAACAATATTGATGTAGTTATGTGAATCACTGTTTACATTTTTTTTTTAATGTTTGAGGGTCTGGCTTTGCTGTGAGCACTAATCCAGTGTTCCTATCTTTGCTGAGAACACTAGTGAGAAACACTGACAAACAGGAACTGATGGCCACTGATCACTGATGCTGTCATGTCACTCAAGGTAAAGCAAAACTCACATAGGGAATTGAGCAACAGGAGCGGATGGAGTCGCTGAGGCCCATCCACTGCTGTGTGTCTGGATTGTCCCCGCGCCACAGAAAGTACTGGTGGCCCTGGTAATTGGGGCGCTCATAAAGCATCCAGCAGCCGCTGTCTACACGGATGGAGTTGCAGTGGCTAAAGTTGGTCTGCAGGTTGGGGCTGTCACTGGTGCACTTATAACAGCGGCCCTGGAAGCGCGGTCCTTGTAGAAGGTGATCTGCAGTGCAGACAGTGCGACACAAATGGTGAGCTGGAAGATACATTCCCTCGTGCAGTAGATACTCAACAGACATGGTATGGCACCTCTCTTGCCTCACCTTTCCCATTGCTGTTGACAGCGAATGATCAGTGTCCAGTGTGATGGGGACAGGAGTGACAGCTGATATATATAGCAGGATGGATGCTATGTTGGCAAGAACAACACAAAAAGGGCCTGGGGGTAATGTGTAAGGGGATTTCTGTGTTCTCTTTCTCTCTCTCATTTGGGATCATGGGGCTGGGGGCTGTCATTCTGTCTGGCATTTTCGAGTTGTCCTCACTAGCTCCAGTGAAAGGAATTAAAGTCAGCAGAGCCATCATGACCTTGGAGACAAAAGGCGTGTTTCTCATCCTATGCAGCTGTCTAGAAATACATTATATGGCCAGCATTTTGCAGTGTTTGCCTATAGAAACTGCTGAGATGGAGGCTGGTGCTTCCATTTGCGGGAGCGGAGTACATGAGAATCATATCAGTTCCAGAAGGACCTGAAGGGCAAAGGGGCAACAAAAAGCCCCAAACAAATCTTCCAATTGAATGACAGTTGCATTTCTTTATCAGTACAATATGGCTTTGTACATGTTTAAGATAAAAAGGTTAGAACTGTGTATAGTAAAATTTCAATTGTGTTTATCAATGAATGGCAAGATTATAGGTCCTAGTTTTGTTTTTATTTCTTCTTTTCATTTTTTTCTATTACAAATATATATTCTAATTTTATGTGATAAAGAAACAATAAAATTAAATTCCATAAATTAATTTTAAGCACGAATCTGAGCTAATGGTGAAAAGCAATTTTGGAAATAGATATATTTTGTCTTGAGATTAAAACACTTCTCTTTGAGCTAAAAATTAAAAAAATCTCCCAAGAGTCTGAGATACTTACAGAGCAGGAAAATGCAGGTGCTTTCCACTCCCCTCCCACTGCCACCCTTCTTTTTAAGGCTAATATTACAGCTTGCCTGTGTTTTTCCTCAGCAATGTGTTGGCAGCTCACTGAGCCGAGGTGACTGTCTGAAGAGCTTACTCCATTGCTGCCAATGGAGTCAGGTCATCTTTCATCATTCTGTGCTATGAGTGTGTGGAAGAGGACATCAAACACCTGTGCTTTCACACCCAGCACAGCGAAGGCCTCTAAAGGCCATCAATCTATAGTTAGCAACACACTCACAGCAAATGTGCAGACGGTAAAAGGAGAGACACTAATGGCCACCAGGAAAAAATGCTGTCTTGTAACTAGGGGAACTGGACAAAAGAAAACTGGGCAAAGTCCTTGATCAGAGCCCTGGCAGCGTCTGCAAGGACCACAAATCATGGACACCTCCTCTATCTCCATCCTAATGCTTCAACTCTCTGGGTAAGTCTCGGGAACAACTATGATAAAGCCCAGTGTGAAAAGGGCCACACTGGTCTCCCCAGCTACAGCCCCACAAGGAAATATAGCATCATTTTCAGCAGAAATCAATAAGCCCATGCATGCTTTGCACAGCTAATGAAACGCTCTGCAGAAAGATATCACATTCAAACTTAAGAAAGATATAATGTGGGCTGACATTCATTTCACCAAATTGTTATTACAAACATTAACAGGATGAGCCACATGCCTAATTAGCATTTCAGAAAAGTATGGAAAAAGTAAAGCATTTTGTTTCTAGAAGTCATATTCTATTGAGAGAAAGCTTGCACTCATTTTCCTCTTAATACTTTATTGAAATGATTTTACATTTTTTCCATTGCAGAACACAGTAAGGAAAATCAATGACAGATTAATTTTAGTTTGGATTAAAATTTTGGAACACTGCTTCCCATTCCACCACTTTGCAATATTCAATGCTAAACATTTGTAAAAACATGCTGCAGAGCCAGCCTGCCTGCTCTGACACAGAAATGCTACATACTCAATTCTCCAAGTCTCACAGTCACAATGAAGTAGCATTGGTTACATACACTTTTTTCCTCTTTTACCAAAATATAGCTGTCCAGCATGCTTCTAAAAGAAGAAAGTCAACATCAAAAATAACATTCAATTCAGTTTACATTAAAAGCTAACTGTAAAGAAAAATGTGCTGCCAGTTTTAAGATGATGTTTTTTGTCTGCTCCCAGAGGCTCCCAGAGGTTATGATGTTCCATGGTACAAGCTGAAGTTTCTAAGTGACCTGCAGAATGAAAGGATGATTTTTGTATCAAGCATATCGATATTACATAGGCATAAAATAAACACTAGCTTCCCACCTATAGGAAGTTATTGTTAGATCTCAGATACTAATTTATTGACAAAGATGAATTAGGGAAATGCAAGCATAAAAGGATTTCCATGGAACTCATATTCTTTGAAAAGTTCTTCAGAAATAAAGATATGGTTCTAGAAAATATATACCCTGGAATCTTATTATAACAAATATCTTTAAAAGAAAACTCAGTATGGTGGTAGTTCCCCACATGTGATCGCTCTGTATAACAATGCTTAATGAAAGGCTGTGATGTGACCAAAGAATTCGGGCAGTTCCTAAAGCAGTTCCTGTGACAAGGTTACATTTCTGTTCAGTCAGTGGTTTGCCTCTGGAACCTGAATAAACCCTGACTCTATGTGGTTCACTTGATTCAGAGACTCATATTTAAAAAAAGGTCCAGTACAGCAATCACACTAAGTAAAAATGTATTTCATGTTTCAACTTAAAAACAAACCCAATTTATAACTCAGTGTATCCACTTTCAAAATTCCCTCCTCCCTTTCCCACCTTACAATCTTCCTGCTCCTCTGGAGTCTCTCGTTCAACAGAGCCCTAAAATGTTCCAGACCCCGAGCTGAGACTACTCCTCTGGTTCTTGCCCCTCTCAACTTTTTTTAATTACGTTGACCAATTTGGTCTCTGTGTCTGCTTTTTACATTTCACCTTTCCATTACTGTTGAAAGCCCAGAGCAAGGAGAACAAAGAGTCTTCCTTTGCCTTTCTCTCAACCCTGTCAATCTCTGACCATTCTCTGAATTCTGCAGCATAACTCAAGAATCAGACAGGACAGGAACAGGGGAGATGCCATGCAGGAAAGATGAAAATCCTCATTTGTGACAAAAATGGAATTCTGGATACAGATATTAATATAAACCTCCTCATATTCAAACCAACAGAATAACAGCCAATTGTGAATATTACTTTTCAAGTGCTAAAAAGATACTCATGACTAAGATTTGCTTACGGTTAATCCATGACAAGCACTGTTCTAACCTCCTAACACCCATAAACTCAGTTAATCATCCTAACAAGTTTAAGAGGTAGGTACCACTTTTCCCCATTTTGTGGAGGGGGAAACTAAGGCACAGAGAGGTCAAGTAACCTGCCAAAGCCACAAAGCGGGTAAGTAGGGGTCCTAGTTTCAAAACCGAGAGCATCTAACTCCAAAAGCTCAATTTTTAACCACAACATAAGCAAAGTTCTCCCAAAACATCTAGTATCAGTTTGGTGCCATTTATGTTTTTTACCTACTTTGTTCTTTGGCAGTGTGTATGAGAAGCTTTTGAATGACTTCCATCCTGTGACCTTTGGCTCTTCGGTACAGCGGGTGCTGACGGTTTTGTTTCTTGTTCCCCTTCTTAACTTGACACCTACAGACACAGGTAGTATATCTGTATTCAAACCTTTTAAAAATAAAATGCATCCACCCACAGTTTTTGATTTCTCCCCTCCATACTGTTTTGTTCCCTGCACCCAAGGAGCTGACAAATAAAGGCTTCCTGATTTTGGTAAAGCAGGGGCACAAGTCATAAAAACTCCTGGTTCTTTTTAATTCCACCAGACGGAAATCTATTTCCCATTGTAATTTTGACCTTTCCTTGTGAGCCCACCTCCCAGTTTTACTTAAATTCCTCTGAGCAGCTGGAAGTCAAGAGGCTTACTCTGTTTGCGGGCGTATTCTGCGGCTTTGGGCGCTGTTAACATGGCAAAGGGGTGCAAGGAGCAGCGGAACAGGGGATTCCGGGGAACCTGAAAGGAAGACAGCTCTGCTTTTAAAAGCCACATGTGCTTTGTGTGGTTAACACCCACCAGCTATAGCCCCTGACCTGTCTAACCTACCCAGAGTCCTTGACTTTAACAAAGGTCCATTGGTGAGGCACTTGAGACATTTGACCGTGAACTTGACGCACTGCCTTTGCTGCTGTACTTGATTCCAGTTGCCTAAATAGCTCATCACATCCACATACTCTTCACAGTTCCCTTTTCCAGGAAAACCCACTTCCTCTCTTTCTACCAGGAGACTCCTGCTTTTCCTTTTCTATGGAAAAACATCCCCTTTCCTGAGAAACTTAACCTTGACGCCCTCATTCTCTGGCCCCAGGGCCACCTCATCCCTGCTGACTGTCCGACTCACTCCTCTGGGGACGCAAGTATGGAGTCACCTAGAACAAAGCCACAGTGTGGTGGCTGGTTATGACCCACGCTGCCTGCCCCAGGCTGGAACATGTTGCTTCACTTATTCCTTCAGCATGCATTCCGTTAGCACCTGGCATGGGCCAGGCTCCCAGCTGTGGTTAGTGAGGCAGAGAAGAGGCTCGCCCTGCTGTGACTGAGTGATGAAAGAGAAACAAGGAGCCAAGACAAGCCTTAGACAAGTGGGGTAATTGCATGTGGGGGAGACGGTGTGTAAATGAACTAAGCAAGGTGACTTACTAGCAGGTTATGGAGCAGCTGCCACACAAGCAGAATGGACGGAAGAAGGTGCTGGAGGGGAGCAGAGTTCAAGACCTACAGCACCCGGCATTGGAGGAGCTGAAGAGACATTCCAGGCAGAGGGAAGGAAAAGGACTTCCTGGATAAGCCAGTGGTGGGGATGACTATAGATGAGGATGAAGAGGGGCAGGACCCAGATAGCATGGGTCCCTGTTGGTCATAGGTATGAAGCTGGACATTGTTATTGGTTCCAAGGTGCAGTGGGAAGCCATGGAACTTTCTTTTTCTTTTTTCTCTTGCTTCTTTCCTTTCCTTTCTGTTCCTTTCCCTTCCTTCCTTCCTTCCTTCCTTCATTCCTTCCTTCCTTCCTTTCTTCCTTTCTTCCTTCTTTCCTTCCTTCCTTCGTTCCTTCCTTCCTTCCTTCCATACTGGGGGTTTGAACTCAGGGTGTAATGCTTACTAGGCAGATGTGCTACCACTTGAGCCACTCTACCAGCTATGGAAATATTTTTAAGCAGTGATCTGACAAAGTCAGATTTAGTTTCTAAAAAGATCACTGTGGGGCTGGGGAGTGGCTCAGAAGTAGAACACTTGTCTAGCATGTGCCAGGCCCTGGGTTCTACTCCAGCGTGACCAAAATTTTTTAAATTTAAGAAGAAAGGATCACTGGCTGCTATGTGGGGAACAGCTCGGAGGGTGGAGGCAGGGAGGCTAGTTAGTTTATTTGACTTTTAACTCCAGGGCCTTATAGGGTGTCTAGCGCGTAGTAGGCCCCCAAATGTTCCCAACTAGTTGAATAGCTATCATTCTAGTCATGGCACTGGTGAGCAGCATGGACTATAGTATCAGAATGCTTTGTTTGAATACAAACCGCATCAGTTACAGCCCATGTGACCCTAGGCACACTCCTGAACTTCTTTGTGTGACACTAATAATCCTGGTGACTGCCTGATAGGGGTGGAGTAAGGACTGAAGCTAGTTTATGGAAAATGCTTAGTATTTGGGCTTGGCATGCAGCACCATACTGTATATTAGCTTTAGTGATGATGATGAAAAATCATTATTATTTATATTTCTCGTCAACACCACCATCTTTCCTGACTCTGATTGCACAGAACTTCCATGGTAGCTCAGTGGGCACCATTTCCTGTACAGGATCCTGCTCCCCTGCCAGAGACAGCTCTAGTGAATTGCTGACAAGTAACTAACGGGAACCAGAAAGTCTGAGCTTAACACCCCTCTGCAGAATCGACAACTTTCCTTTTGCCTGTTAAGTCTGGCATCATATTTTTGGTAAGGGCTTTTATTTCTAAGGAACAAAAAGTGATTATAAAATTCTCAAACATGCCTGCATTTCAGAATATATGCTATCATATTAACAACAGAGTCATATATAATTGAGGCAAACATCAAGAGACAAGGACAAGGAAACAAATCCCATTTTTACATTTCCAAGCCAACATTCCTCTATTTTACCACCCCAGACTTTTAGTGGTCACATGCTTAAGTCTAGCTTTTTTCTCTTCAACAACTTTGTAGTTCTACATTGTTTGTTTTAATTGCTGCATAATGTTCCAATATACAACCTATTTATCCCTTCCACTATTACGGGTATTGGATGGTTTCTAGTTTTTGTTTATTATAAAGCGCTGCTTTGAACATTCTAGAATGTCTTTTGGTGAACAGGTGTCCACAGTTCTGCTTGGATACATACTTAGGAAAGGAACTGATGTATTGTAGTATATGCACATGGTTAGCTTTAGAAGATGTTCCCAAATGTTTTCCCAAGTGATTACCCCAATTTATATTTTCTTTAGAAACGTGAAATCTCTGATGGCTCCATGTACTCATCAGTACTTGATGCAGCTTTCTATGTCAGCTCTTCTTGTGGGTGTGTGGGGATATGACACTTGAATTTTCATTTTCCTAGTCACTATCAAAGGCAAGAACCTGAGCTTCTGTAGTGGCTCAAGTGGTAAAGTGCTTACCTAGCAAGTGTGAGGTCCTGAGTTCAAATCACAGCACCATCACAGGCGAGAACTCATTCTTATTTATTGGTGGGTCATTCGTAACTCATCCCTTGCACAATGTTCCAATTTTTTGCTCCTTTATTATTTTCTGCTTTTTCTTATTTTACATACTGTAAATAAAAGTCCTTTGGCAGATGTTTGTAGAGTATCTTCTACTTCTTTGTGGTGTACCTTTTCACTATTTTAATGGTATTTTCTTTCACAGAATATCTTAATTTCAGTACAGCTCAGTTTGTCAGTTTTTGCTTTTATGGTTCGGGCTTTTTGCATACTGTTTAAGAAATATTCATCTACCCCAAAGTCACAAACATATTTTCTTATGTTTTCCTCCAGCTGCTTTATTGCTTTTTCTTTCTCATATAGATCAGGGCTGAGGTGTGGCTCAAGTAGTAAAGTACTTGCCTAGCAAGCACAAGGCCCTGATTTTAAATCCCAGAACCGCCAAAAGGAATAAATAAATAAGCAGGTCTACAATTCATCTGAAATTGATTTGTATTTCTGTTGTGAAGTAGCAGTCTAGGCACCTTTTTGCTCATATAGGGAATCCACCAGAATGAGCCTTATTTATTGAAAAGCTCATCCTTCCCTGTGACACCTCGATGTCACCTTTGTCATAAGTCAGGTGACTTATGAACACTTGAGCTCAGACTCTCTATTCTGCTTCATGGTCCTTTGGTCAATCCCTGAATCCATCCCTTGCCATCCCACAGCTGGATAGCTGGCCCCAATATCTGGTAATGACCCCTAGCTTTGCTTTCCTGTTTCAGGGTTGCTTTGTGCTTTGCTCTTTGAATTTCCTAATGAGTTTTATAATATGTTTGTCAATGTGTGAAAAGAGAGAGAGAGAGAAACAAGCTAGAGGGTGAAAGAAGAAAAAAGCTATGCAAACGCTCTACCCTTGAGTTGCCCCTCCCCCATCCTCTGTTTGTTATTTTGTTTTTGACATATGAAATTTTGTCTGAATTGGCCTCCAACTCTCCATCCTTCTACCTTTGCCTCCCAAGTAGCTGGGATTGTCGGTGTGTACCACTATGCCAGCTCTGAAGTATGTTTTTGACTTTATGAGCAATGGCATATATCTACATTCGTCTTCTCATTATTCCTAGTATATAACAATAAATTGTTATTATTTGAGGTGGTATCATTTTAACCTCAAACTTGCTATGTAGCCCAGGCTGTCCTTGGACTCTTAGATCATTCTGTCTCAGAATCAATATGTTTTGTTTTGTTTGAGACAGGGTCTTGCTATCGCAGGTTAGCCTCAAACTTGGTGTGTCAGCCTCCAAAGTCCTGGAATTATAGGAACGCACCACCAGACTTGGCTTGAATTAGTTTTTCCTATTGACTTTATATCCAGCAACTTTGCTGAATTCACTTATTAATATAATAGTTTATACATCCTTTTGGATTTTCAAAGTATGCATTATGTCATTTGCAAAAACATGATAGCCGTATTTCTATTATCCCTTTATTTTGTTTTTTAATTTTTCCAACTAGTTAAGATTTTCAATGTCATATTAAGTAGGAATGGTGATAGCAAATATCTTCTTTTTTCTTTTATTGTTGGGCTGGGTGGGGTATTGTGGCATTTACACAGGTCTTACAATGGCAAGTATCTTTGTTATTTGGTTATTTTTCTTATCTCAAGGAGAATACTATCACTAACTATTAAATTTCCTATAGTATTTTAAATAAAACATTTTATTTGATTAAGGAAAGTCTCTTGTCTTCCTTTGCTAAGTTATTTCTCAGTTGTGTAAAATACACATAAAGTGTATTTTATGGGTAGGTATCACCTAACCATTTAAGTTTTTAAACTTAATAACCTTTCTTGTTAAGAACAATTTTAAGTTCACAAAAAAATTGAGGGAACAGCACGGGAAGTTTCCACACATTTCCTGTCCCCAACACATGCAGCCTCCCCACTACCGGCTTCCTGTGCACACTTGTTACAACCCATGAGCCTTCATGGATACAGCATCACCAAGTCCAAAGGAAGTCTTTAAAAAACTGCATTTCTCAATGTTTTTTCAGAATATTTTTCTCCTTCCCTCTGTTAACATGACAAAATACACTGAATGATTTTTTTGTATTAATTATAAGATAATGAGGTTGAAGACCACACCATAGGAATGACTCAGCAGAGATGTAGAAGAACCTTGTTCTTAACAATTTCATGGAACTGTGGTACCAGCTTGGTCTGTCACTTCCAGACTCCTTTCATATAAGAAGGAATCATATGGACTTCTGTATTTCACTATTGCTATGGGGTTTCTGTTATATCAC